TAATAGTTGTCAAGTATTTTACTAGTGGTTAGCTGTTAGATATTAATTGTTAATGGGTTAGCTGGTTAGCTATTGTTTTATTGAAGGGTATGAAAGCGGAAAGCAAGATAAAGATAAGTGATGAATTTAAGTATCATAAAAAAAATTATAAAACGGTAAACATTAATGAAAATAACATTTCATGAAATACTGTCTTAAACTCTAAACATTAGTATAGATATTGTATTATCGAACGCTATAATTAATTAAGATATTGTTTTAATCCAATCAAAACACTAAACACTACTTCAAACACTATTGCTGAACAACGTTTAGTAATTTCCAACAAAAAATTACATGAAAAATAAACTTACAATTAATTAATTGCAAGATGGCTTTCATAACATTTTTAATGGTCCAACCTGAAATTGTTTCCAAATTATTGAGCTTTTTAACAATTTTATTTTATATCACTTATATTATCCAAGACTCAAAATTCACCACTTAAATTTTCAAGATTTAATTTTTAATTTTATCAAACATGACTTCAACCTTGTTAAGGTATTAAATAATAAAATATCATAATATATTAATCATTACAAACCACACAACTAGTCTTCAAGATTTAAAGATCAATAGTAGAAAAAATAATTTTTTAGAAAATGAAAAAATTTTAAGGATAAATTACTAATTAATCTCTTTAGTTTGGTAAAATTAACTATTTAGGTCTTGCATATTTAAAAATAAATTGATTATTATAATTTGCTCCTGACCGACGGTAAGTCCTTCCATCTAAAATTTATAGTTTTGCTATTAATTTTTAATAAAAGAATGAAATACCTTTCTATTATACTTCATAATTTATATTAAAAGGGTCAAATTTGAACAAAAAGACCAATTGTCAGATGATTTTAAATTTAGGGATGCATTCATATTTTTTGCAAAAGGTAGACACTAAATAGTTGATGTCATCAAATCACACGGAGCAAATAGTGTATGAAATAAAATAACAAATGGATAAAAAAAATTTTTTAAAAAGAGCTAAATGTGTAAATTTTAGAAAATAATTTTGCAAATAATACATAAATTAAATAATTTTTTTAAAAAAAAAATTGGGAGCCAAGTCAACATTTTGTTAAAAAAATGCCTACTCTGGAGTTGTCCACCTATGGAGCATGGTTTCATATTTGTTTTGAATTTTGAATGGAGATAAGTAACGCCTACTTCTTTGAATTTTCCTTCAGTACACCGGTTGGCCTTTGGAGGACCTTTTGACTTTCACAGTTTAAAAAAAAAAAAAAAAAAAAAAAAAAAAAAAAAAACAGAGTCTTTTGGTCAAAATGCATAAAAAAAAAAAAAAAAAAAAAAAAAAAAAAAAAGAACAGAGTCTTGGTCAAAATGCATCAACTATTTATGAATATTTGAAGATAAGAAAACAAAATTTTTTCATATCTCACTTCAACTGACACATTATTCATACTTTAATCAAGTTAGAGCCTAGAAAAATGGGAGCAAAATGATTTAAGAAATAATTCAAATCTCAGTTGGCTTGGATTCTTATTTTATAAAAGTAAATTTTACAAAAAATCATTTTTTAATTTTTATTTATAGTGTCCAAAAGGAAAAAAAAAATTTACAATCTATAATTTTTCATCAAAAAATCAAAATTAACTATTGTACATCATTGTTTTACTTTATTTACTTTTCTAAATTATTACACTTCTTTCTTATTTCTTTTTCTTTCATTATTTTATTTTATTTTGAAATAAAAAAATTAGTCTAAATTTTGAGAATTTTTTAGGAAAATAGATAAATCATTTTTATTTTTTTTTCAAGAATCCATAATTTTTTTATTTTTTTTATTTTTATTTGTATATTATTTTTTTCATTGTTCCTTATTCTTGGATCGCCTATTCACTGGTTACTGAATCTGAAATCATCTCATTTTTTGCTTCAAGAATTCAAATTTTTTTACTTTTTTTTACTTTTTTTTTTCTATTTCTAATGGTACATTGTTTTTTCCATTGTTCTTTATTTTTTGAATCTAAAATCTCATTTTTTCTTACTGAAAGTATCATTACTTTGTTTTAATTGATTGTTTTATGTCTCTTACGAACTGATGTCTCTATTTGTTATTGATTTTTGGTTTAAATGATATAGCTTGTGTTGTTTATATATAAATTTGTGCGTTTTATGTGTTTTTGAATGTAATGTGATGGAATCTGAAATCAGAAGTATCTTTCTTTTCTTTTAGCTCCGTTTTTCATATTTGAGGTCCATCCCCTTGTGTGTTTGTCACACGCGTTGATCCAGAGGCAAAACTGAGCAATTTGGTTTGATTTTTGCAAGGTAGTGGGTTTTTAGGCTAAAAAAGCAAATTAAGATGGATTACGTTAAATTGATAATGTGACATCCCGACCCGTCAAAGCGATCCTAAGAATGACAGGCTAGCTAAGGTAGTGGAATGCGGGACACATGAATGAATCGAATCATATCTCGAAAAGGGGAAAACTAATCATTAAATGCGCCTTTTGGTGGAATGACTGGAGAGTTGGAAAAACTTCAGGGTTAAGCGTGCTCACTTAATAGAAATCCTAGGATAGGTGACCTCCTGGAAAGTTTCTCATTTCACCTGCGGGACAAAACTGTGCGGGGACTACACTGAGGTATAGGGCGTCCGTAGACTACACCAAAGCGGACAATTCCTCTGGTGATTAGAGTCGGGGCGTGACAGATAATATCCCAAGTTGAAGAACAATGGTAAAAATATACTCATACTACCACCGTTCCATAATACTTGTTATATTTGAAAAAATAGTTAGTTCTAAAATACTCGTCACAATAAATTATTTTTTCTATGTTTAACCTATGTATATGACCAATTATTTCTCCAATTCTTCAAAAAAAAAATTTTCTCTCTTTACTTATTGCTACCTATTTGTGTTTCCAAAATCTCTCCACGACTATGATTAGATAAAACATGAGAATTGAATAGTCTAACATTTAATTTGGTGTTTGGAATATTAAATTAAAGGTAATATAGTCAATTTACTTAATAATTTATTATAAATTAGAAAAATAATGATTTTTTTCTAGGTTAGGTTCGGGTGTATTGGGGAGTTTATTGGCTCGGATTAGATTACTTGGATAAATTAAATTTTTCCCAGTATGTTTTATTATAATAAAATAACTTAATTTGGCTGATAGAAAAAATTTATGGTTATTTTTAAGGAATATAAAATTTCAAATGTGACTAGTGTTATAGAAGCAGTCGGTAATAAGAACATGATATGCAAAGTGAAAATGTAAACCATTAATAATACCAACCACCTATGTGTGTGTGTATATATATATATTGAAATGTACCAACTCTCTGTTAATATTTAATTAAATAACATGAGACGAGCCCTCCACCCACATGCAATAATAAAATATTTTAAAATAATAAAGCATAAGGAGTTGAGTTTTTGATTGTACACTACAAATAATTCTCATCGGTTTTGGTCAACAAAGTTACGCTTAAACCAAATTATAAAATTACCAAAGTCCAAAGCCAGCCGGCTAGGAGCGCAACATTGGTGTGTTTGTATATATATAAGCCAGCGGCTTAGGAAGCGCAACATTGGTTGTGTTGTATATATATTATATATTATTTATTATATATAATATTATATATTAATTTTAATAATATCAGAATTAGGGAAAATACTTTATCCGTTTTCATTTAATTTTTAAAAAAAAAAATATATATATATATATATATAATTTAATAATATTCAGAATAGGGAAAAATATTTATCCGTTTTCATTTAATTTTTAAAAAAAATACAAACCGGACCTTTTTTTTAATTAAGGATAGAAAAACTCTTAGAGAGTATATAAATTCCATCTCTGAAAAAACGTATTTACTGATAAAATTAAAAATTTTTATACTTTATCCCTTAAAGGGCATTGGAAAAAAAAAATAAAAAAAAATAACAAACTCACTTACCCTGTTTACGAAGATGATCCCCGACTAAGCTGGACTCTTTAGTGCTAACTCAAAGAATTTTTTTTCAATTATTTTTTGGATTTACTATTTAGTGTAAATTATCGGTATTCGAATTCCATTATCAATTACCGCCTAATTCGACTCAGGACTTAGTTACAATTAAGGTTAATCGCCTCTCCTTATAGGTGCATTTAGTGAATCGAACCTGAGAGCTATTTCCACATGTCTAATCTGTATTGTCAATTAAATTACAACCCGTTGGTTAAGAAAAATTAGTTAATATAGTTAAACTATATTTTTTTAGTTTTTTTTTTCAAAAATATCCCTTTATACTATTAAATGATGCATATCAATTTAGGGAATATGGATATAAATTAAATAGGTATATATTAAAAAATTAAATAATGAATAATCTTTTTTTAAAAGACAAGACTATTTATCTAAAAAAAATAAGACTATATTTTAAAATAGATGAAAAAGAAAAATGAATCTATATATATTGAACGAAGGATTATTAGTTAACGCGTTAATTTAATAGAGTTTCCAAAAAGATTAATTTTATAACAATATAATAGATATGGTGAGTGCAAATTTAAGCAGGTAATTGTTGGTGAAGCTTAGTGGAGATGGCCAAGTGGAGGAATCTAATTTGGTGAAGCTTAGTGGAGATGGCTTTCAAACCCTTCCTCTTCCAGTTTTTGTAATTTCTACTCAATTTACTTTTTATTGAGTGAACCGATTATTTTTTTATTGAGCGAACCGATTATATTAATCTTAATTTATAATATTTAATGAATAAAAAGTAATTATTATTTTTTAAATATAAAAAATAAAAAAAATAATTTTAAATATTATTTATTAAATTTATAAATATGATAAATATTTGGACCACAGAATATATATTGCTTGCCCATTAAAAGTCGTATGGCTAGATCTTAGTCAAAAAAGGATTGCTTAAATATACATATATAAACATATGTATTCAATTAGTCTTCCAAATAATAATTAATTCTTGCTTATTTGATGCTGTGAAAGAAGCTGAACGTTAGTCAAAGATTATTATTATTATATTAAATTATACTAACCTTGTCTTCATGCACGACTGGAGGTCAATTGGTAACTCCGTACCCCATTCTGCTATAAAATGCTCCCAACACTGGCAGAGGCTTGCACATGTTCTTTCTTCTTCTTCTTCTTCCAAGATAGAATTAGTAAGCCAAAAGACCAATCATGGCCAGCTCTTCCTCGCCTGCTCCTACTGCTAAGAGGTAAGCATAATAATAATTTCCTTAATTAGATTTTCTTAATTAAGGCCCTCTCATACTCTCCGGCTCTTAACCTCCCTTCTGATTATAGTCAAGCAGTTGTTGAGTCTTGATTTCTGATAAAAAATTATTGATGCAGATTAGAAGGCAAGGTAGCTTTGATAACCGGAGGAGCTAGTGGAATTGGCGAGTGCACTGCACGGCTCTTTGCACGACACGGCGCTAAGGTCATAATCGCGGATGTTCAATCCGAATTGGGTCGCTCTGTAGCAGAGAAAATCGGATCCGAAACCGGCCAACCAGTTACATACGTGGATTGCAACGTAACAGTAGAATCCGACGTGGAAAACGCAGTGAACACTGCCGTTTCACTGCACGGAAAGTTAGATATAATGTTCAACAACGCTGGAATCGCAGGAAACAACCACGACAAGATATTGTCAACAGAACGGGAAGATTTCATGCGGGTTTTGGACATCAATATCTACGGTGGAGTTCTGGGAGCCAAACACGCCGCAAGAGTAATGATTCCAGAAAAGAAAGGGTGTATTCTATTTACAGCAAGTGTTTCTTCAGCTTTATATGGCGGGCCTTATGCTTATACAGCTTCAAAGCACGCCGTTGTTGGGTTAGCCAAGAACTTGGCAATAGAGTTGGGGCAACATGGAATAAGGGTTAATTGCATTTCTCCAGGCGCAGTACAAACCGGCTTGGCGAAACAATTGGGTTTGAGCGAACAGCAAGTTCAAGAATGGAGTTCTGCTTTGGCCAATCTGAAAGTGGTCAAGTTAGAGGTCAATGATATTGCTGAGGCTGCTTTGTACCTTGCTAGTGATGATTCAAAATTTGTTAGTGGGTTGAATCTTTTGGTTGATGGAGCTGCTAGCTTGCCTACTACTACAAGAGCTTATTAGCATTTTATTATCTGAAAACCACAAGATTACAAATAATTTTGCAGATTTCTCAAGCTAATTTTGCTGCAAATTCCATTGTATTTTATTCTATCAACTGCACAAGAGTGCCATTAATAAATGATTTCTTCCAATTAAGTTTTATTATTTATTTATTTGATTGTGATAGCTTTTATCACAAAATATTACACTTTTTGTTTCAATGGTTATGATAAATTTAATTAAATTAAAAAAGAAAATAGTATAAACTAAGAACTATTTTTTTAAAAAAAAAAAAAAAAAAAAAAAAAAAAATTAATTTAAATGTAAAAAAAAGAAAATAGTATAAACTTAAGAAAACTATTTTTTTAAACAAAAAAAAAAAAAAAAAAAAAAGAAAAAGAAAAAAGCAGAAGTAAGAAAAGAACTACGAAAGACAAAAAAAAAAAAAAAAAAAAAGAAAAAGAAAAAAGCAGAGTAAGAGAAAAGAACTACGAAAGACACAACAAAATCATGCAACACCAACACAGACACTCACATGGTGAGTCTGACCGTAAAAAATATAATAATGAAACGAATTATATACCTACAAGAAATAAAAAATGAACATTTCCTTGTATTATTCTGACAACATCAGCTACCGAGCTGGTCATACTTTAAAACAATGCCAGGATAAATATTGTTGGTGGGACAATTCTAAAAACTCTGTAGCTTTTATCAGTTGGATTTATAGATCGGATTTAGATGTAAATCCTACTAATTATATGATTAATTTAATCGTTAATTGAACATCATCACAACCCACCATCCATATGCAATAAAATATTTTAAAATACTAAAAAATTATTTTCAGGTTTTGGTCAACAAAGTTAAGCTAATAACTTTCATCAATTGGTACTTTTCTTTCATCTTGATTAAATTTCTCATGTTTATTTTTTATAACTGTAGAATATGTAAGAAACAATTATATTATTAAGCAAATTGACATAGCTGTTTATGGATGAAATATAATAAATAATTAATAAAATGAATTTTTGAATAACTTTAAATATAAAATAGTATAACTCTAATTTATAGTAAATAATTTATATGTATTAAACCCTCATAATGTGCGGAAATACTATATATATATATATAGGAATAATTTATGATTAAGAGGAGTAACAACAAAATAACGACAAAACATAGTTTGCATATTCGATTGAAGGTAGTTTACAATTAATTTACCTGTTTATTTATAGTATTGCAATCCTAATCCTAATTGGGATAAGAAAGTGATTCAAAATAATTTTAAAATTAAAATAAAATTAAGTTCAAATTAAACCTTAATTAAATTATCCACCTACGGTAATATTCAGATACTATTACAATTGTACTGGGCCTATTCAAATCCTATATTCACTTTTGGGCCACAGCTTCAAGTTAAAATAGGCCAATAGTTTGGGCCAGAGTCAATATTTGTCAATCGACTTATTTATTTTCCCACATCAAACTAACATTTATTGAACCTATGTTTAGATTTTACCAACTGCCGAAGGAAGATTTGGAGTGGCAGTTAAATATAGAGCATGTCTTCTCGTTGCTGTACCACCAGGATTGTCAGACATGTCAAGATCTTCTGGCTTCTGTCCACCAGGAAGCTTCCAATCAAAATGATAGAGCAACTGTGCAAGTGGAAGCTCAACAGAAGCAAGACCAAATAACATTCCAGGACACCTCCTCCTTCCAGCTCCAAATGGGGTAAATTCAAAATTAGTCCCCTTAAAATCAATTGAACTATTAATGAATCTTTCTGGATAAAATCTCTCAGCTTCATCCCAATATTTTGGATCCCTTGCAATAGCCCATGCATTCACAATGACAGTAGATTTCGTAGCTATATTATAACCTTCAATTACACAATCCTCTCTGCTTTGTCTTGGGAGTAACAATGGGAGAGCTGGGTGTAATCTCAGAGTTTCTTTGATCACCAATTTCAAGTAGTTTAGTTCATGTAATCCTGCTTCATCAACCTTTCCTTTAGAACCAAAAACTTTCCTCACTTCTGCTTGTGCCTTTTCCATTGAGGGGTTTTTCACCATTTCTGACATTGCCCATTCTATGGTTGTTGATGACGCGTCACTACCGGCAATGAACATGTCCTGAAATATAAATAATAAAGATCATGACAAGTAATGGAGAAAACAAGTAATGAACAAAATCCAACCTAAGTTTTAAGTCAAACGAGAAATGAAGCAAGAGATATAATAACCAGGATTACTGCTTTGATGCTATCGTTGGATAGAGATGAATTAAGGTCCCCATTTTCTTGAAATTTCAAAAGAACATCTACAAGATCTTCTTCCTCTCGACTCTTTATGCCAGTATCCACCATTCTTTTTCTCTCTCTGTGTTCCATCACAATAGTTTCAATTATCTTATCTACTTCGCCATGGATCTTCTCTACTCTACGCCTTACAACACTAAGAGCATTAAACAATTTAATGGAGGGATACAAATCAGCAAGACTAATACTTCTCCCTGCTTCAACCAACTTTTCTACAGCCGGCACAAATACTTCTTCTCCTCGCGATACTTTACCACAGACAGCTCTTGAAATAATAGCATATGTCAACGAACTAGCCATTTTGCTAAAATTGATAGGTACTTCTCCCTGCTTCAACCAACTTTTCTACAGCCGGCACAAATACTTCTTCTCCTCGCGATACTTTACCACAGACAGCTCTTGAAATAATAGCATATGTCAACGAACTAGCCATTTTGCTAAAATTGATAGGGGATCCTGATCTTGAAGATATCGATTCAACGAGTTTAAACACTTCTTCTTCTCTGATTGATTTGAATGACTGTACACGCTTCGCAGTTAATAACTCGAGGGAACACATCTTTCGCAATTGTCGCCAATATTCTCCATAAGGTGCGAGTGCGATATCTGTGCATTTATAGCTTACTATATCACCGGCGAGGACAAAAGGCCTTTGAGCAAAATTTAAGTCGTGGGTTTTCATAACTTCTTGAGCAAGTTCCGGCGAAGAAATTACTACGGTGGTAATTTCGCCGAGCTGAAGGTGAATAATGGGTCCGTATTTACTGGATAGATCTCTCAGGCGGTGATAGGGTAAATCGCCAACTAAATTGTGAACGTTCCCTATTACAGGCAGTTTGTTTGGCCCTGGTGGTAGATTTGGAGTTGAGTTGGCTTTTGATTTCTTCCACATCCTTAATGCGATGAAAATGAAGAGTGCGGTGATGAAGAAAATGAGAGGCCCTCTCGATAAATTAAGAGAATAATTACTGCAGCAGAATAATTAAATTGTGACACACAGAAATTTGCATGGTTCACCTTCAACTTTATAGGGCTACGTTCACGGGACAAATTCCGAATTTTTCTTCCACTATAAAAATAGTAGGCTTACAAAGAGAGTAATACAAAATAGTGGCACTCACAAGTGTTTCCCAAAAACACTCCAATAATCTTCACTATTTTTGGCACTCACAAGTGTTTCCCAAAAACACTCCAATAATCTTCACTATTTTCTAAACCCTTAGTTTTAAGAACCCTCTTAAAACTAAAAACTCTCTAATATCTCTCACTTTTTGGTGTTTCGTTTTTGTGTGTTTAGAGGCTCCAATTCCTCTTCTATTTATAGGAGAAGAAAACTACTGTTGGCCAATTGTTTTATTTCAATGGTGCATGGGTCCCACTTGAGTGGGAACACCACCACCAATTAATAATGTGTGTGTGGGTACTCCACAATGTGGGTGGGTACTCCATAACAAATCTCCCCCTTCACACTCAAGTGAGGACGTCAGCCAAATTCTCCATCATCCCTGCAGCTAATCGGCAATATTCAAACTTGTCTTTTGGAAAAATCTTCGTTAACATATCTGATCCATTTTCATCTGTATGGATCTTCTCAAGCTGTAACTGCTTCATCTCCAGTACATCTCTGATCCAATAATATCTAACATCAATGTGTTTTGATCTTGAATGAAAAGAGGAATTCTTCCCAAGATGAATCGCACTCTGACTATCGCAGAATATCAAATATCGTTCTTGATGAAATATCGTTCCTTGATGAAAATTCCGAGTTCATTCAAGAAACTTCTGCATCCACAACAAACTGCTTTTTGCAATGCTTCTGTTATTGCTATGAATTCTGCTTTAGTTTGTTTGATAGCAGCAATACACTTCTGTAATCTTGACTGCCATGGAACACGGACTCCCCCTGCAAAATGTGATTAGATACCCTTGATGGTGGGAACTTTCTCGAGTCAACATCCCCAACCATATCTGCATCAGTATACCGACTAATACTGGCTTCTTCATCTCCAAAGCAATTTAAAACATAACTTTGGTCGTTACATCGAACGCATATTTTGAAAATCCACATTTCACTGCAGCCCAAAAGTTCCTTGCCAGGATTTTTGAAAGAAACCGGATCACTTACTTACTCCGACTGAGTGAGGCAATATCTGCGCCGTGACAAACCATGGCATACATTAAACTTCAACAGCTGAAGGCATTATGAGATCTTTTTTCCATCTCTTCCTTTCAGTCCATCGGATAGAAGGGCATTGTTTTGAGCTTATTTAAAGTGATTTAGCAAAGAGGACAACTAAAAACCACCTTTTTAGCATTCCTCCATTTTGAACCTTTTGAAGTACTTTTCTCCAATGTACTTCCTCCCTGTGACAACTATATTTCTTGGTTTTCTTCGATCTCGTAATCTTCATACCAAGAATTTGCTTTGCGTCCCAAAGTCTTTCATAGCTGTTTTTCTTCAAAGCTATTAATTCTGACAGAATTCTAACCAACAATCAAACACATCATCTCATTAGAGCAACCGAGAATAATGTAGTATTATCAGAGAATTTCTTTACGAAGACATCAGTGATCTGAAAGTTTAGTCTTTTGTAACCTTGCTCCCCCATAACAGACTCAAACTTCTTGTACCACTGTCTTGGTGCCTGCCTTCAAGCCATACAGGGCTCTTTCTTCAGTTTACCAAACACAATCTTCTTTCCCCTTTTTTATTGAAAACCCTTCTAGCTGCTCCATGTATATTTCTCTTCTCCAAATCTCCATGTTAGGAAGACAGTTTCTTTCGACATCCATTGCTCGATTCTCCAGATTAAAACCTAGCGCCCATTACCTGAGCACT